ATTAAATCAACATTTAAACATGAAAATATTTTAATCAATCCATTTAAACTGCGGCAACGGCCTTACATTTTTAATTTCACCTTTTTTTTTTTTACGGACTAATGCAAACTAGGATTTATAAATCAGTGGTAAAATCAATTTGAATTTATGAGAATTTTACTCCTTTTTTTTTCTTCATTTGATAGTAGCAAACAAGGATTTTCTTTTGTGCATTTAATGTAAACGTACCGGCCGCTCAGGGGTAGCTGGAATTCAAAAAATTCCACCCACTCCTGACCAGCCGGTATGTTTATATCGCATGTAAAACAAGAATCCTTTTCTATTCTAAATGTATTTTATTTAAAAGCTCGGCGTGGGAAAAAAATGAACGCAACGCTTAAATTCATTAGTAATTAATTGACATCTAATTATATTTTAATTAAATGTATAACAAGGTCTGGTTGAAATATTATCGGTTTTATTTTGTTTTATACGTTTTTTAATCTCCCTCGTACCCAAATCGCGTCAGCCCACCCTTGCCCAGTATTCAACCCTTCCCCTGTGCTTTCCCATTGGATGGCTATTATTATGTGTATGTGAAAATAAAATCATTTCCTGGAAGTAAACTTGGATGTGTCTCAGTTTATTGGTGAACATGTACTGTTGGACTTGATGGACGTATGTCTTTATTCAACCTCAAATACTATGTAACTATATATATTACATATTTAACTCCATGTCATATGTCTTATGATATTGGCCCTTTACGTCTCATTCACTCAAATAATAGTCAGGGGTATGTGCACTGTTCTCATACTTGCCCAATGCTGTTGACTATAAATGCATAAGTCTCATCATCTATTTAGGAAGCAGCACCAAAAATTATTATTTTTATAGATATTTATAGAGCGCCAAAAATGTATGCAATGCTTTACATAGTGCACATTCGCATTAGTCCCTGTACTCAAGGAGCTTACAAAATAAGGTAGCTTGCGGTATACTGAGCTTTGTGTAACGGGAGGACGCTAGTTTGTGTCCTCCCGTTACCCTTCGGAGAACTATGGGGAAAAGCCCTAACCCCACAGTTCTCCTTTAAGGAGAGCAGAATATTGAAAGTAATGGTAGATGTTCAGCTTGGTGACCAATCTAGTGTACATCATCATCACTGTAATGAATAAGGCTGGTCATCGACTCTTCTCTTGTGGTTACTAAGCCAGAGGATGCCTGATAACCTCACGGCAGTGACTTGGCCATCTCTACATACCAGTATGGTCCACTAGCAGCTGAAACTGAAATATGGTGAGGCTTGGTTGACAAGCTATTGAAGTGTTGTCCATGTCTATCCCAGCTCCAATCACTGCCACCAATGTTTAAGAATTCATCAGGTTCCAGGAATTCTGGGATGTACACTCTATTTTAACTTCTGTCTTCAAACAATAAAGTCTGTTTCCCCTCAAGCCTTTGATCATGGCATAGCGACATTTTGAAAGGATTTCTACTTTCACCTACTCACGCCAATGCAAGAGAAGTGAACTTGGACTTCCTATCTCTGATTCGATTACCCCAATGCCACTTCTAAGCCCTGATTGCTATCTATCTTGCTTGGCCAGAAATAAGTCACACACTCTAATATTTCATTGGACTGTATAGCTTTGATTACACTTGGCATTCGCCGTGTCATTGATAAGCTCATGCAATGTCACAACATTTATTTCTGTCTAGAATTGTAATAATATTCACCCAGATCTTGTAGTGATGATGGGAGACTTGGACCTCTGTGTAAAGTCTTCTCCAGCACAGCCCAATGATTCTCAATGGGGTTAAGGTCTGGACTCTGTGGTGGCCAATCCATGTGTGACAATGATGTCTCATGCTCCCCAAACCATTCTTTCACAATCTGAGCCCGATTAATTCTGGTATTGTCATCTTTGAATATATCCAATGTGCCATCATTCATGGAATAACCTGATCATTCAGTATATTCAGGTAGGAAGCTGACCTCATTTTTTGGGGGCATAACGTTGCTGAACCTAGACCTGACCAACTGAAGCAACCCCAGATCATAACACTACCCGAAATTCAGGTGGTAACTTTTTTTTGGCCAGGTGGAGTATATTGCCCAATCTTCCCAATAGTCATTGTTCGCAAGTTTGTCAAGGAATCTGTTGTTGTGTTTCATTGTTCTTCCTTGTAACTCTAATATGTGAGTTTCAGAACCAATTTCAGAATTGTATGAAGTCTGAAGAAGAGACCTTACGGGCCTGGAAAGCTGCATCTTTTTAAAAAGAAAATAGCCAACAAAGGCGATCACCTAAACTTCAAACCTTTTCCAGTAATTTATTAATACTTAAAAGAGAACTATGGGGTCAGTGTTTTTCCCCATAGTTCTCTTAAGGGTCACGGGAGGACACAAACTAGCGTCCTCCCGTGACCCAAAGCTCAGTATATCCATGGTTCCATCGCACTCCTGACCGTCAAATCCCTTTGAAAAGTGGGTCCTACGGTAGTGAACTGGTGGCATCCGTTATAATCACAAGTAAAGATAAAGACACCGGCACTCCAAATTCATAAACAAACGTCTTTTTATTGATGTGCAGCATAGTAAATAGCAACAAACGTTTCGGGGTCACAGAGGATCCCCTTCCTCAGGCAAAAGCATATCGCGAGGCAAAGCTCAGTATATCGCGAGCTACAGCTCACGGGATACTGAGACCGGCGCAGCCAGGACAGATCACCGACATTACTGTCAAGATCCACCCAGCTGCGTGATTGACAGCACTGGAGGATCGGAGCGTGGAGGCGGGAATCCCTGCAGGGAGCTGTGACTGACAGTCACGGCTCTCTGCAGGGACATGATTGAGAAGTGAGCGAGCGACGGTATGCGTTCACTCACTTCCCGATCTATTGAGCCGACCTGTGACAGTTTAATTGTCACACGTCGGCTCAGATTATGAGGCTGAGTGATATTCACTCACCTCATAGTTCTCCTTTAACATGGTACAAGACTCTACTACTAGTATACAAATGTAAACAAAAAGCAAGTGTTCAAAACATAAAGAGAATTATGTGTATCTAAACCTTACAGTTTACACATAAACAGAGAGAAGCCAGCAAGATAAAAACTGTAACATGTTGTATTTTTTTAACCACGCGTGTAAAAAAACAAAATGCTGAGCTTATGTAGAGAAAGATGCCAATAATAGTAGACCTGCATTATGATACAGTTTCCTTCCTGCTAACAACTGTAGACAGATACATTATTATTCTAACCAGTGCAAAAAGTCAACCAAAGACCCTGAAGACTGATAAAGATTGAGTAAAGCTGCAAGTATTGTTTAAGGGGAAGTAAAATCCCTTTTTGGCTAATTTTTCCTAGAACTATTTTGAAAGGTTAAAAACTGATGTTAGAGTTCCCTCTTTTTTTCTGTTTGTATGATTTTTATTTTTCACCAAAAAACATTTAATTCAGAGCTAAAAGAAAAACGCCGGGCATGTAAAAATGTAACCTTTGCAGTGAGGCTCCCCCTGTACTCGAAGTGACAGCAACTGATCCTAATAGGTTGGACTTGATGGACTAATGTCTTTATTCAACCTCAAATACTATGTAACTATGTAACTGATGACACTTTAGTACCAAAGCAGAAGAATAGATGACACCAAGTCAACATAGTGACCTAGAGGAAGGGACCCTGTAAGGTCCAGAAGCACTGGCTTTCTCTGAACTATGTGACATCAATAAATTAATTCAATCTTTGATTCTGAACTGAGCGCTGGTGACATCTCTTCTTCTGCTTTGGCATTGGGGGACCACTGCTGCCACACACTTTCTCCTTACTGATCTTTTACAGGGTGGTTGGCAAGGCTCCTCCTTGCCCGCCAGTACTATACATGTTCTTAGTTGTCCCTACAGGGTGGTTGACAAGGTTCCTCATTGCTCACCAGTACTACACATGCTCTGTGTTGAACCTACAGAGTGGTTGGCATGGGTCCTCCTTGCCCACCAGTACTATACATGCTCTGTGTTGAACCTACAGAGTGGTTGGCATGTGTTATCCTTTCCCACCAGTACTACACATGCTCTGTGTTGAACCTACAGAGTAGTTGGCATGGGTCCTCCTTGCCCACCAGTACTACACATGCTCTGTGTTGTCCCAGAGCAGTGATGTCACAGAGTAAAGGAATAAAGGGGTTCGGCTTGCCGGTTTTTGAACCATTTGCCAAGTGGACACTGGAGAGTGAGGAGTTAAAAGTGAGCACTGGTGCTATGGCTTGGTAACACATGTTGTGCAACAAGTTTATGAGGTTCTAGGGCAGGGGATAGCAAAACTGATGTTTAAACATAATACAAAACAACAGTCAGGGTCACCAGAAGAACCAGAAGGAAACAATGGTCCAGCCAATGGCCCAAACCTGAAGAACAATGAAATGGCAAATATTATAGCTCTTCTTATTTAACTTCTCTTTTATTACCCGGAAGTGTTTTGTTTCTTCGATTGTTATTTGCAGGAAAATAAATATGCTCTGCCCCTTGCTTGTACTCAAATTGTTTAATAAAAAGGTAATATAGTGAAAAAGAAAATGGAGCTCAAGCCAATCAAGGACACAAAACACACAAAGGAAGATATACCTGACACCCAACCACAGGACCATGGAAGCAATTGCTATCTGTAGATTCTCTTAGATCACAGGCAGCCATCTTGTAAGGATATCACTTGCTTCAACCGTGCTCAGGTGTCTACAGGGCTAGCTACTGAAACTTGGGAGCAGGAAAAGTAAGAACAGAGCTCAAGATAGGTCAGAATTGAAACACAAGGCTGAAGGTAGTTGCCAATGGCAGTCATAAAATAGAAACAGAGGCACAAAACATACATCAAAAAACATCAGAGTGTAAGCAGGAGACAGGTGCAGGAAGACAATGAATGGTCACTGAGGGAAACATAGATTGGGGAATAGAAACATAGACCACAAAAAAATAAGGTTTAAAGTTTACATCCAGCCAATTTTCTTGGTGTTGTTTTAGATATGGCAAATCATTAGAATCCCTGTTTGGTTTCCACTGCTATCTGGGCTGTTAAATAGTGTTCCTCCTATTTACTGCCCCAATACACAAATACATTAATTATTAATTATTATTAACTATTATTTCTGTCTATGTTGCTATTAGAGGTTTGCTCCCACTTCTTATTGAGGTAAACCATTGTTACTGAGATAGTAAGTGAGGGAAACCCACTCTAAGGGCGTTCTGGATAGCAGTATAAAGGTGGGTGAGCATAGTCTTTAAATACTTCAGGTCACTAGAATTCTGGGAGGTCAGCCTTAATAGAGTAACCAGGTAAGGTTTACCACATATTTCTGCAGGTTTCCTCTCAAAAATACACAGGTACTTCAATCTGTGTCTAAACAAACAGTCCTTAAAGCGGACCTTTACCCAGATCTTTCAAATAACAACAAAGGCGCCTTTATAAATGTTTAGTAATGACAATCTACACACACATACTTCTAGATAATTGCCGGCTTTGTATTGTTTGCATACCTTATCTCTCTTTTCTTCCCCAGTCTTCTGGCAGTGGCCATGTTTACTAAGGGCTGATCACTAGCTCTCCTTTTACTTCCTGGATTTCTGGCACATGTGACTAGGACATGTGACCATGCACATCATCTCAGTCAAAGAAAATGCCTTTCCTTGAGATCTTGTGAGATTACAGATGAGATTTCCCAGCAATGCTCTGCTGATGACAAGGCAATCCCGGTGTGCATTGCTTTGGCAAACTGAAGTCATTTGTGCCCTTTCAAAGCAGGAAGTGAATGCTCTGCAAGTGTCAGTATTTCACAATCACAGCGTTTTATACCTGACATGTCTATGTTATTATTAATCATCATACATAGAGGGATGCATTGGTGGAATTTGATTTTTGAGTGTAAAGGTCCGCTTTAAATGATGTAATGAATAGTACTATGGTCATGTACACTGCCTGGCCAATAAAAAGTCACACACTCTAATATTTTGTTAGCTCTGATTACACCACACATTTGATGTGGCATCATGTTGGTAAACTTATACAATGTCACAACATTTATTTCCATCCAGAGTTACATTAATTTTTCACCAAGATCTTGTAGTGATGATGGGAGAGTCGGAGATCTGTGTAACGTCTTCTCCAGCACATCCCAAAGATTCTCAATGGGGTTAAGGTCTGGACTCTGTGGTGGCCAATCCATGTGTGACAATGATGTATCATACTCCCTGAACTACTCTTTCACAATCTGAGCCCAATGTGACATCAGGGAAGAAAAAAAATCAATTGATGGAAAAACCTGATCATTCAGTATATTCAGGTAAGTAGCTGACCTCATTTTTTGGGCACATAACGTTGCTGAAACGAGACCGGACCAACTGAAGCAACCCCTATAGCTCTTACCTATTTGTTAGCTAAATCCAGGCAGGGTATGTATCCATTTCTTTATTCTTTCCTCCATTCAAATAAATAAAATCTCTCATGCAGCCTTCCTTTGCTCACACCTTTCTCTTCATGCCTCATTCTCCTCAGAGATGACCCTCTTCCAGCTCAGACCTTGTCGCTTCCAGGCACAAAATGGTGGCCAGGTTTCCAGCGGTTGTCATGGCAACTGCCATTCTCCATACTGTGCTGGCATTACACTGCCTGGCACCAGGGACTATTTGATCAAGCGGAGCAGCTGAGACTGCATAGAAAGTTGTGGGGTTTGTTTGTTTTTTTTCCTTTTTAAGCATTTTTTTGATAGCGCGTCTCTTCATTAGGTGGAATCATTTACTAGTCTGTCATTTTAGGAATATTAACCTCTTGCCGTCCGCCCGTAGTAAAAAAACGGACGGACGGCTTAATATAGGGGAAACTGTTTTTTTTTTTTTAAATCGGTAATTTTTCCTTAATATAGTAAAAAAATAAAACCCCCAGTGGTGAATAAATACCACCAAAAGAAAGCTCTATCTGTCCCCAAAAAAGGGTATAAAATTCATTTCAGTACAGCGCTGCATGACGGAATAAATATCAGTCAAAGTACCGCAGCGCTGAATACTGAAAAATGGCCTGGATGGGAAGGGGGTTTAACACCGCGGATGTCAACTGGTTAAAGGGGAATTGTAATGGTTTTGCATAAAATCATTTTAAGTTTGTGTTTCAATTGATGTTTTATAGACTTTTTAACTATTTGGATAAAACCTTTATTGAACACTAAAAGCCAAAACGTTTTTCTTGTTTTAAGTTTTGAATAGAGTGGTGAAGAGCTCAGCCCCCTGTAAAGTCTTTAGTGTTGTCTGATTTACCTTCTTTTCTTTGTCCTGCTTACTATTGTCATGAGACTGAAAGTGATGGGAAAGCCAACATTTTACAGCTGACACCAGAACAGAAGGTGATGTAAAATCTTGCAATGGGGACAATTATTCCAGTGACAACTGTATAAGAGGAACATTCTCCTCACAACAGCACAAGAGGCATAGGCTGTAATTAACAGTTCACTTGGCTGTCAATTGCAAAGCCGTGCCTGCCCCTCTATACACACGGCCTACCCACCTCCATGACATTTTAGAGAGGATAGCCTGCCATCACTGTTCTTCAGGTACTGGCCCTTCTCCCAGCACCAAAGTAGGCCAACTGGTGGCTGCGGATGTCGTTATATGAAGTACAAGTAATGCATTGAGGGTGATGTAAGGTCTGAACGTGCAGGAATTGGGGATGATCCGAGGCCTGAACGTAAAGGAATTGAAGCTCATCTGAGGTTTGCAGGTGCAGGAATTGGAGCTGATCTAAGGTCTGAAGGATCAGGAATTGGGGATGATCTGAGGTTTGCAGGTGCAGGAATTGGAGCTGATCTGAGGTCTGAAGGATCAGGAATTGGGGATGATCTGATGCTTGAACATGGAGGAATTTTGAACTGATCTGAGGCTGGAACATAAAGGAACTGGGGCTGATCTGAGGTTTGAAGATGCAGGAATTGGGGCTGATCTGTAGTCTGAAGGTGTAGGAATTGGGGATGATCTGAGGTCTGAAAGTGTAGGAATTGAGCTGATCTGAGTTTTCAGAAATTTGGCCGGATCTGACGTCTAGGTTATGCTATTGTTCACTGGCACTTTTGTTCAATGCCTGTATTGTTGTTCTATGTCTGTGTAAATTCTAGTACACGGTGGTTGAGTAGCTTTAAAATAAGGCAAAGAACTTGTCTTATGCCAGTCCTAGAATGCCCCACCTGAGACAAAATTCTAGTTTTCCATCATGTAAGCTATGGCCCCCCAATGCTAAAGCACCATTCTGTCTGAGGAGTCCTAGATCTGGCAACATACATTTTTAATCTGATTGCACCATCTCCTCAGATTTACTGCAAAAGCCTGCCTATGAAACCCTTTTTATCTGCTTCCAATCAGAACCAAAGGTTCTGATTGGAAGAACCTCCTCGTCTTTTCGGGCACCAAAGGTGATTGTACACTCAGATCGTAGCATGCCTGGCCAGCTTGGTGGGTACAAACCTAGGCATGTGCAGTAAAAGAAATGTGCTTCATATTATTTTCTGGGATTCTACGCAGTGTCTTCCGCATTATTAAGCTTCTCCAAGCTGTGATTAATGCCTTCCTGTCACTATGATTGCTGAGCACACATAACTCTCTTCCCTTCTTGTGCAATATTAACGTCTAAACCACAAACTTCTGCAAACTGATCCACACCACACAGACTAACAACACATGTACAATGGTTTTTGTTCTTGCTGTACTTTGTAAGAGTATAAAAAAGTATCTGTACTTTTACGTAATAAAAGGGTGCAAAGAGCAATGCCATGCATGTAAAGAAACCCGTGGAAATAGTAAGTGTATGTATATCCCAACAGTAAGCCCCTCTTATTTGCTTTTGGTCTGTGAAATATACCATTAAAAAAGTTGAAAGAGTAAACTGACACTTGGGGGTTCATTTATAAACGTGCCTCCAGGTGTGGCGCTGACATGTATAAGAAATTCCTATACTCATCAGCACCATCTAGGGGTGCTAGTGAGTGTATGCAGAACTTTTAAAAGAACCCCCTTAATGTAGAAAGGATTGCTGAAAACTTCCATATGCAGTTTTTTAACCCACCAACACCGCCACAGCAACTATTATGCAGTTCTCCCCTATAGTGCTATAAGTACATTACATTCCCCCCCACAAAACCCAACATTAAGAAACAGTTTTATTATACCTGTTCACTAAGTGCAAAAAAAAATATCTGCTGCTCCGGCCAGACATCCAGGGCTTTCCTGGCCCCCCCTTGCCTTTACTACACTCAAATTCCAAGCAGTATTATCAGTCCTCCACAGTTCTCTCTCGGTGTACTACAGAACACTTGTTATGCAGATGAGGAGACAGTGGGGTGTTCTATAGTCCTGTCCTAGGATGACAACACTGCTTCCCCATAGATAAAGCACAGTGAGTGAGCGCTGACACCATTGGACAGGAAGTGTGTTACTGGCAGAACCACCATAGGTTAAACAAAGAAAACTAATGCAACCACCACATCTAAGAACAGGTAAGTTACAATATATTATTGTTCTTGGGTATAGATAAACTTTAAAAAGATATTAAAGTCAAAAGAGGGTCTGGTGATTGAGACAATGTAGCCCCTGTACATGTAGGAGTCGCATCATTAGATGTCACCAAATGGCTGAAAAGAATGACAACAAACCTGGAAGTAGCAGCAAAGGAAATGGCGGCGGTG